ATAGTCCTGTTAGTGCAAGTGCCGGTCTATGCGAKTATATTATGGTATGCTAAAAGATATCATTAATTAGAGTGTCATTAAAGAGAATTCCCACAATACCAATCGAATCCACTTAAAAGTAATCGTGCATATGCGACGTTATCACACATGGGGAGTAAACAACGTCACTCTAGGTGTGATTGATTTGATAATGTCATTCTTACAAGACGTTATAGCTCTAACTATGTAATTTGCTAAAACAAAATTTTGTTTCTTACATTCATTCGTAGTACTATCGTCCTTCCCATGTACACTTTCGGCCTCAGCTTCTATCCTTTGATGCGGAGCCCTGGATTTTCTTTACGTTGCCTCTCATTTACAAGCTTATCTATAGYCTTGATTTCTTATATGTTTGGATCACTTATAGTACTATTAGGCTGAAATGATGCCACTTGATCAGTATTACCACAATAAAATATCTTATAACTAAGGCGTTATAACAATAGCCACGCACTTTTTTTATATGGTCTGTATCTCAGTTGTTCGTTTCTCCCACATGGTCGCCGGTCTTTTATCTTTTTAATCTCATGGGAATTATTGACTCATGTTAATTTATCGGCAAGAAAAACAATTTTATGTGCATACCATCTTTTAAAAATGACTGTTAAGAGTTACCATGATTTACCAAGAAATTAGAAAATAGAAGAAGTAAAATTTCACATTAACTGACAGTTAATCATAAACAAAATTTTAGAAAGTCATTGATAATGAATAAAGGACATAGTATGTTGTTCAAAACAATAATATGATAAAGTTTTTATTGTGTACTTTATGATCAAATTAAGGCTCATGGGCTGACAATCTTTTCGCTCTACACGTTTGCGATCGAATCTGGAGATTCTTCGGCGATAATTTCACGCCAAACCTTTTTCTTGATGAGTTTTTTAATTTGTTATATGTAAACATTTGTTTAATGAAACGTCTTTAGTGTCTTAGCTGGGTAAATAGCTGAACACATNGAGTCAAGAACTTTCAAGTGCAAGAACGACCTCTCATCCAAAACCTTACAAGTGCTGTTAAAGAGGGAACGAACAGATGGAAGAAAACCTTCAACCTTGAAGAGGAAAAGATCTTTGAAAATATTTACAACAAAGACAACCTGTCGATGTTTCTGAACTTGATGCGTGGATACTCCAAGGCAGCAGCTCCATCGTTCGTTTCTTGTTTCGATTTGAGTCGCTTCAAAAACGTGTGTGACTTAGGAGGTGAGGCATCTTTTGTTATACTTCTTTTTATACATCTTTTGCACGTGCTTTGAGATTGAATCAGTCAAGACCACACCTTTCTTTTTCTTACGGACGGAAACTGCAAAATGATTAAACATTAACACCGAGATTATGAAATGAAATGTTTTAATATTGTTTAAAATGTTGTGTACATTTTGCAGAAATAGTCAAAAATAATTTTCGCTCTGTTCATTCAGATGTGACCAGTATGGCTAAAACAATATTTAAACAAATGATTGTACACTTTCACGCTTGAAAAAAATTGCTCAAAAACCTACAACAAAAGGCTTCCTAACCATTTCCCTCTACAAACTATGTGCCATCCTATCGTTTTGTTCCTGTTTGCAACTGTAGAATCATTGGAATGAGTTTATTATACCTTGCATGTGGGCGCCTGAGGCGAAATGTGGCCTGAGGTCGAAGGGTCGACGGATAAGGGATTTTTTATATAAATTCTTCCTTGCAATATCGCTATTCGTACAATCTTTTCATTGGCATGCCTGGTTTTATTATTTCAATACCAGGATGCACTGGAGACATAGCCTACGCAGCCTGCACCGCCTACCCCGACATGAAAATCACTGTCCTGGACCTGCCACAAGTCGTTGACTGCTCTTCACAATTCGCTCCTTCTGCGAAGGAATGTCCCAACCAGCACAATGTCAGCTTTGTAGCGGGAGATTTCTTTCAGCCCAAACTGCCTACCGCTGACCTGTATGTACTGACGCACATCATTCACGACTGGAGCCAAGAGAAGATCGATATTTTACTCTCCAATATTTTCAACAATTTGCCTTCAGGTAATTACTGCTCGGACTTTTTTCTTTTTATACATATATAATTAGTGTTGTCTTTTCTTGGCACCTTGGAGGGGGAGGGAGGGGGGGGATTGCAGTACGACAAGTAGGCCCCTTTGTTCTCGTATTTCGCAGCCTCAGCTTTCTCTTAAGTCGGTGCATGGCTAACATTTTGTTTTGTTAGGTGGAGGTATTCTTATAGGAGAATCGATGTTGAATGAGGACAAGAGTGGACCGGTATATACCCAGTTTATGTCACTGTTAATGCTTGTGATTKSTGAMAGAGGTGCAACCGAGAGAACTGGGAAGGAGTATCGACAGTTACTGGAAAAGCACGGTTTCAAAGATGTCCAAATAGGTCTTGCTCACAATTACATATTTGACGCCATCTTGGCCATCAAACCATAATATACCATGGCAGAATTTCACATGATTATATAAGTTTTGTCATGTACCAATATTATATCAACTTGGACGGTTGTAAAAAGGGTGGATAAAGCACTGAATCCATTGGAATCCACATTTTGTTTGGATTTTATTTGCTGGACAGCGTTATTCACCCTTCGCACAACCTTTCCTGCCAATCTTATTATTTTTTGCCTTGTTTCTTGTGGGAAAAGGTATAAATGTGTGTGTTGTGTTTTAGCTGTGAAACTGTAAGTAAATCTGCATGGTTCAATCAACCGACWAAAGTGTTTTTCACGGATGCAAAAGGCCTCGAAGAAACGGTCACATGGTACTAAGTCCATCATGCTGGATGGAAAAATACCTATTGAGATGTTCAAAATAAAGAAAAGTCAAGCTTGACGGTCCGCGTCCCTTTTGTTTTTGAGGTTGTTTACATTATTTTGCCATCCAATATGGTGGCGGATTTAGTACCATGTGAGCCTATTGAAACATGAACGCGAGGGTGAAACACTAGAGGGAACAGAACACCAATTACAATGCGSCTCCAAAAAGCTCCGTCGTGCCTTTATTTTGTTCATTGGTTGACTTGCAATAACAACAAGTRTCATTTATAATGTTGGTTCAATAATAGATGGAAGTATGTCAGGGACATTTTTGATCTTAAAATCCAGCATCATTTGTCCCAGCGCTTTGCCCTGAAACGGTATTGTAAACTGACATAAGCATAACAAAAATAAAATGATTTCAAACTAAATGGCCTTTCCCGAGGGCTTGATATTTGATGAGTTGGACCGACTTCGGATAAAACTCAAAATACGCTGTGGTCATATAATGCTTTTTAAAGCCCTTTGTCAGTTATCACTATGGTAATCCTACCTGGCYTCCACAGGAAGCCCGTAACCCGTTAACTGATGTCTATGAAAGAGACTAGTAAATCCTACTTAACTGACACCTACCTGAGGATCACTTCGTAATGACGTCACACCCCCACCGCCAAGAGCCTCGTCGATAACAAAGTTAAAAGCGTTAATTCCTGGAAGTTCATATCTGAAATAGAATTGAATAAGTGGCGTTCCGCTTTTCTAAAGTTCAGCCTTAAAAGCCCGGCAAAAAAAAAAAAAAAGAGAAAAGAAGGGCACGAATAACGAACAAATGGGAAAGCAAAGAAGAAATAAAAGGAAAGTGGGACATAACTGAAATGCATAACAAAATCAGTAATAAATTACTATGAAATATTCCGGCGAGGATGGCCAATTTGATTAATGGGACGGTCAGGCATAAAATAAATAAAAAGAGAAAAGAAAAAGAAAAACGGATCAGGAAAGAAAAGGAACGAGAATGGSAAAACCTTTTAACGCGGCATTTCCCTTCTTCTGGTTTGGTGTCAAATAGGTGCATAAAAAACTTCTCCACTTCTTCTTCTGTCAGAGCTCTTCGAATAAATGGCACATATGAAGGATGACGGGCGATTACACCTGAAACAGAAAACGGAATGATATTCTGGAGGCTTACCAGCCGTCTCTCAGTTTGCTTGATATATCGTTGCCTTTTTACCTATATTCACACTGTTGCCTTTATCACCGCTTCTTGTGACAGCCAGTGAGCTTAGTGGAAAGGTACACCTACCCTTAGGCATTCCTACAAAMAACAGAAAGCACAGTTTGCAGGTCGCCATTTTGTATAACAAAACATATTCTTCATACAATTACTCCATGCATTTACTCCATGCATTTCGTCCATACAATTACTCCATGCATTTTTGTCCGTTATGTCAGTTCCATGTTTCAAAATAGCACAATAAATCTTTGAGTTCTTACTTATTCTAGCGGGAAGGACATGTGTTCTTTGTTCGTCTGTTGCCWGTTTAGGTGTTGACTCAGCGAGTTGTTCTGGTTCCATTGTCTCTACAACTTGATCATCGATTTGAATGTCAATCTAAAGAAAACAAGCAACAAAGAAGAACCTATGACAAACTAAAAAGAAGAAAAATTGTTCATTTTGTTCATTCCTACGAACTTGACCTTTAGTTACTCTAACTTTATTTTTTTGAAATAACTATTGTAACTATTTTCATCCGTATGCTTTTTTAATCCCTAATTTGCTCGTGGAGATCGGCATCGTTAGGGAAGTCATAATTTTAGCATATAGTGCGCACACAAACGCATTCTTGCTTTCTTTAATTTGGAACAAATAAGYAAAACCCACCAAAACAAAACTAGTAAATAAGGAAACTAGAAAGCAATAATATGAAAAATAAACGAATAAAAAAAGGTTAGAGGAGTGTTCCCTTTCATTCGTATGATTGCAAAGGACACCGGAAGCCCCCAAAACGGGAAAAAGTGACAGGAAGAGAAATATTACAACTAGTTCTAACCTTAAATTTGTCTTTTGGATACAGGAAAGAATAAAGTCTTAGTAGTGGTGACCTACAAATCAACAGCCATATATCTATCAGTCGACMGTTCAAAGAGTGATAAACGTTATCTGAGATATCTCTGTGCACACGATACATACGCTCTAGGTCGACCTCCAACAATGGCAGTAAATCCTGGGGCTGAAATATAAAACTTATATGTTAGTGAATACCCATAAAGCGTGAAATATAGAACTCAACATTACCCATGCTAGTCCCAGCAGAAGCAATTTCTCTCGCAAAAATGCTTAATGCTTTTTTCTGGTGATGATGTACAGCTAACCACAGGACGGCTTCTCGTGGACCCTAGAAATTACAAAACCAATATCAAAATAGAGATAAAAACCACGTGATGTTTTATATCAATTCCAACAAGGTCAGGCCTTCAAGGAAGGGGGGAGTGACTCATTTTCTGCTAGAAAATGAAGGCCAAAACCCAATWTAAGAAAAGATATCGGAGAAGCAGAAGTTTCTTGACGTTTCTCGMGTGTTCTAAAACCAAGTTCTCTATTTCTTTTATGACATACGAGAAGAGAATTTACGAAAGAATTTGCGCAGGCCAATGAGCGTAGAATTAGAGCGCTCGCTATAACATGGACGCTACAATTGCACCAATGCAATGCATGCATCCAAAGTGACTAAACCGAAAAACATCGAGGACACATGTAACGTGCTGCAATCATCTTGACCAGCTTGTCCTCTACACGATCATTACTAATCAAATAAACAATACTCACCGCTGACATGACGCTTGGGAATGCGTGTCTACCGTAAGACTCTTCTGAACCAATCACCTGGACAAGAAAAGGATTTCTTAACAAATAATAACAAAAGGGAATAAAAATCTAAATAAGAATGACAATCTAGAAGTTGGACTCTATAATTCCTCTTCATCCATCCATTCTACCTTCCATTCATTTATTCATCTCATCATTTCTCTTCATCCATCCATTCTACCTTCCATTCATTTATTCCATCGTATCATTTTGGAGTAAGCTCCAAGAAACATTGCACCCAAGCCTTGCAGCGTTTCCTGCATGTAACATTTTACCTGTACATGTGTTCTGGTGTAGTCCTCAAGTCCCATTGCTTTAAATATTTGGCGCGTTCTTTGATGTAAGTAAACAAAGATAGTTATTTTTACGTCACACATTCCTTGTCACGTCAAGTCACAAAAATCAATGTCACATGATTTGTCACACTCTATCAAATCAATGTCACACTCTATTCCATACATTTCATAATCCGATATCAACGGTATGTCACACTACATTGACTACATCTCCTTATGCAACCCGTTACAATCTTCTTATTTTTTTCTTCTTGTAATATTAGATGTTTTAAAAGTCTATTTTCTTTTCACCTTTTTATAATAGTATCYCCTACACGTTTGGCTTTTAGTGATGAAAATGGGCCTCCAACAGGGCAGACGGCAGTTGAACGAAAACCATCAGCATAAGTCGCGCAAACCTGCAAATGGCAACAAGGCAATGTAGATTTAATATTTTATCACTGTCATTAAAATCAAAGTGACTATCAACAGTGGCTAATCCAGCACCCAAGTGTGAATGTTTGATCTAGCTTCTCAAATTTTTGTCGGGCTTCCTGTGCCCTTTGAATCTTCTGCAGAGGGCACAGGAAGCCCATAACAGAAACATATAAGTTTTTGACCAGCAGTGAGTTTGTCTTATACAGCATTGATGATGATGACAATCAATGTTACCTTATAATTGTCAGTGGGTGCTTCACCTGTTGCGCCTTGCACCATAACACCCCCTCCATCATATCCTAAACCATCAATAAACATTACATTTATCAAATCACAACAAATTTTCACAGGTCACTATAAGGGCAATTATATTGATTAATAAGTGTTTTTAGGTCCATGGTAAGCATGTCTTCCTACCCAAAAGGCCTTGTATTTTGACTTGTGARAAGTCACAGATMACATCAGGTAAAAYGTATTTTGTAGGATCACCTATCTCATAAACCAGCTGCAAGTTCAAACAGAAATAATATCAAGAAATAATAATAAAAAAATTAGTAATAGAAATAATAATTTTAAATAGAAACTACAACGAAATATAATCATTGGTGAGTTTTCAATGATTCACGATTCTCTGCTCCATCTTGACAGGTATCTTTGAGCCCTTTTCCAGTGTCAGAGTATAGATATTGTTGAATACCTGTTCAGCGACTGTAGTTGGAGAAACTAATCCTCCAGTATTTGGTGGTTTACTGATGATGCATCTGCCATCAGAASCACAGGTTGCTATTGGATACCCAATGTTTTCCCTGAGGAAAAAATCCTGTTGTTATACTGTACCATGAACTAGTACCAAATCAATGATTTATATTTTTTTATGTTTCATTTCAGTATAAGGATCAATCACCACAAAGATACCACATTATTCTGAACCAAAATGCACTTTTTTTTTCTTAAAAGAAGCATAAAGGTTGTCTAAGTTGAGTTTTACTTGCCAGTTTGAAACTATTTGCCAGTCAGTTGATATCCCACCAGTACACTGTGCACCACATTCAATGAGATGACCAGCCAGGCTGAAAAATCATTGAAAATGAAATTGTCTGTTTACTGTATATTTACAAAGACATGYTATTGTGTTGGCCCTGCATATTTTTATATAAAGAGAGTCTAATTACAAAATTGTATTTACCTGCCTGCTGCTAGCTTATCATACTCATTTGGTTTCCAACCAAACTAGGGGAAAAAAAGAAAATTTACAAATTGTGCATTTTATCAACCCTGGGTTCCAGAGGCAATACAGGGCCGAAGGTTCCCTCTTTTCTTTCCTCATCCCAAATCTCCTGGCTTCCGCTTACATTTTAAACTTTTATAAAGCCAAATATTGTTAACCAGCCAAGACAACAATCAACATGGTGTTATCTATAGCACATTTCATTCGATGTGAAACATTAGAGAGGAATGAAAGTGTCAAAATCCAGTTTTTCTAATGTTACCTCGTGTATTAGAGGCCCTAATGCAAGCGCACTATCTACACATCTTCCAGTTATAACTATATCTGCACCATGATCCAAAGCTCTTGCAATAGGCATGGCACTGAATTAAAAAAAGCAATCAGGGACTCCACTTTGCACACATATCACATAATATACAGCTATACAACTGATGAATAATATGGTAATCAGCACTTAAAACAAGTGTACTCAAATAACAAAAATCAATAATTATTGATTAAAACAGAACATGTCTCTAAGTAAAGAAACAGTTTAGGCAACATTTGATGGTGAAAAGTATTTCTTCTCATAACAGCCAGACACAAATTCTATATTAATCCTCCAGTCAATGTCTTGGGTTGTTTTCAAAAGAGCTCCTGGCAATATCAAAGTGCCTTTATCTAGCCTCCTTCTCAGGCTACTCCAACAGAAACAGACTTTTTTCTCTTCTTGGTCTTCCGGTGTTCATAATCTTGACCGAGAAGAACTGGTGTCCCCTCCCCCTCCAGCAGCTGTTTTTGCCTTAACACAGGGATCCCACAGAATTGAGTTGCCTGAGAAGGAGGCTACAATAGTCTTTATCATGGATATAGTCTCTTCATTAAGGGCATGCTTACCCTAAATAYGCATTCATACTGACAACACTTGATGGAAACTCATCTCTAGAGCTCATCTCCTTGACATCATGCTGTGCCACTTCATCAATTCTGTCAATCATGTTATCACCGCTTACGACTGCAATCTTTACATCAATTCCTTGGGCTTTTGCAGCAGCCATCACAGCTTTGGCACAAGCTTCAGGGTTGACCCCTCCTGCATTGCTAATCAATTTGATACCTAAAGAACATTTATATAATGATATATAATGTATCTAGTTTAGTAAATAACAATATATTGGTAAATTTTCAGATTTGACTTTTTTCTTCTAATCTTTTCATCCTAATTCCCATTATTTCACTCTTCTCTTCTTTGGTTACTGCTACTTTATTGCCATTTTTTAATCTCCCATTCAATTCTCTTTCATCTGTTTCTTGTTCATCTTTTCTTTATTTATATTTCATTTCTTATCTAGGAGTTTTTTGTGTGTTTTATTACCTTGTTGTTTGATTTCTTTGATTAGTGGAATAATTGCTACTTCAATGAAATCTGGAGTATAACCCATGTTCTAAAAATGTAAAGAATATCTTTATTTATCAGGCACATAGCATCCTTTACGAATATATGCATGTGTGTACTAGTGGCAAGTAATTATTAAAATTTTGTATGATATTTTGTATGATTAATGACATTAATTGCATTCACTTGCTTCCTCGCACCAAGTCTTCGTTGTCAAAAAGAACCTGAGCTTTACATTTAAATACAAAAATGCTGGAAATCGCATTTCCAAGAGTTATTATTTTAAAATTTCCTGGCAGACGACCCCCAGACCCCCTTAATACTCCTGCCTTAGGCGGTCGCTGCCGCCCAAAACCAAAATATGTGTCACGGTTCCTGACATGTGCGTGCTAGCCAAAACTTCCACTCTATCTGCCTGTTTATTATGCTGCATAAATAAGGCTTTGTATCAACACTCCTGGATAATGTAAGTGTGATAAGTAGTTTGCACCTCTTCAGGGCGATAGAGAGTTATAAGTGTCTTGCTAATGACACAACAACATGATCATCATGTCTGCAAATCACTCCCAGTCCTGTAAACCCAAAGTCTAATGCCTTACTAACTGGACAATCGTGACTCTCTCAAGAGAAATATCGCCTTGTATTCTCAATGGACAGSCAGATTTTCTTCTTTTATTTAAGCTTTACATAGATTAGATAACAAAATAACTTACTGGTGATTTGTGTTTAGCTGCAGTCAACAATGACATTGTAATCTCTGATAGATAATCAAACATTAAGTAATCCAGTTTTCCTCCACGTACAAGCTGAGGTGCTGAAACCATAGACAGCAATAAAGGACTGAGCCATAATAAATATATAAACAACTTTATATACGAATAAMTACCTGCCATTGCTGAATCACCCCAGAATCCCGAAGCACAACCAATACGAACWGTTTTCCCTTCTAAAGTAGTTGAGTAACATCTTGCTTTTCGATCAAGCAAAACACTACAAAGTCGGACGTTACGGAGTGCAGAAAACGACCTGAAAACATTCYTTGTTTGTCGCACGGTCGATATATAAGAACCTAGATTTGCCATGGTTGATTTTTTGATTTTAAAAAGTAGCGTTAGCAATAGTTAATTTGAAGCTAGTTTTCAGGAGACAGTGTTATTTTACAAAATTATTTTGGCCAGTGATTTTTCTTTGGCAGCCATCTTGAAAGACATCATGGCACAGGGTGTCCAAGATCACGCTATTTTTTTGAGTGCCCAGAAATTAGATAGAACGTAGCTAAAATTAAAACATTACATGTAAAATAACTTTATACAATGTTTCATATTTGATATGTGAAATATTAATGAAATCTTTACGTAGAAATTATATATTCTACGACGAGTAGTCCAACCAAAGTAGTTTGTGGGGCTCCTGTGTTAGAAACACTGATCATGCGCAGTTTCCTCGCCGAAAAAAGGCGAAGTAGTTAAAGAAGAAAAGCTCAGCAAAATGGCGGATGATGTTAGCATGGATGTCGATCAGCTCGCTCAGCCCTCTACTTCAGGGGCYAGTACAAAAAAGCGTTTTGAAGTTAAAAAGGTTAGTAGTCATTCCTTACATCTGAACACTTTTTAAGCCCATAGCCTGTTCTTAAGTGCCAAGAATTTGCTTGAGAAAATGTGACATCTGTAAAGGTTGAAACTCATCAACATTTTTTTTAATTTATATTTTAGTGGAACGCCGTTGCTTTGTGGGCATGGGGTATGTAATATGGCTTATTTAGTATTCTATTTTTGGGAATCATTTATTCAAGTTGTCTAATAACTTTTGATTCTGTCACTTCAGATATTGTTGTAGATAACTGTGCTATATGTAGAAACCACATCATGGATTTATGTAAGTTGATACAAAAACTATAACATGCTCTGATTATTTTATAAAAAGAAAACTTGCTCGGTTTTGGTCCTTTATTAATTGTAGCACTTTATAAAAGGTTATGCAGAAAACGAAAAAAAAAATAAAAGAAAAGAAACTCTTTTAACATGATCCAATGCTTCTTCTTTTATGTTTCATGCTTTTATCTAGCCCTGAGTGCTTAATTCAGGATTATAAAATTTTTGATATATAACGTGCACTCTGATTTGCTGATGACCATGTTTATATCAGAGGACAGAGACACAGCTTACCGGCAAAATTTGTTTTTCGTTTGAAAAATGCAGAAAAATTTTATGAAAGAACTACTGTATAAAACGAATGTTTGTGTCTTGGTGTTCTGATGTAAACACAGCAGGAGTTGAAAAGCACTTGAGAATCAAGAGAAACACACGTTCCGCTCTTGTTTGTTTCTAAACTTGCTTTTCTCATGTTTTTCAACTCCCATCATGTTTATATCAGAGGACAGACACACACACTGTTTTATATATATTTTTCTCTTAATATAAAATGATATGAGCACGGTGGTAGATGGGGTACTTTGAAGAAGTAAGAGAAACACTTGGGCTTGTGTTCCTTGGCTTGCTTCTCTTGTGCTCTTTATGGCCCACTAAGTGCTTATATCAGAGAACAGAGATACAAGCGGACATTTTTTATTCATTTGTTATTTTTTATGGAGAGTAGCCTTGATTTTTGTCCGTGTGACAACGAGTGAAACAAAGTCAAAGAGGTCAAATGATTCTAATTTAATTTTTAATGGGTTATGTGCCCACAGGTATTGAATGTCAAGCCAATCAAGCATCGGCAACAAGTGAAGAGTGCACAGTAGCATGGGGAGTATGTAATGTAGGTACCAATCTACTGTATATACATTCAATATAGTACTTTTTGTACATTTCTTTTCATTGTTGYAATAGTGAATTCCATGACGTATTTTTCCTTAGATAAAGATATGAGTATAATATTTGATGGTKTATATGGGTTTTATTTTGCAGCATGCCTTTCACTTTCACTGTATTTCAAGATGGCTAAAAACCAGGCAAGTGTGCCCACTTGATAACAGAGAATGGGAATTTCAAAAGTAAGTAGTTAGAGTTTAACTGAAGTACTGATGATAAGCTCTAGTCATACCACTCCATGTTCTCTGTTGACCTTGGCTGTTATTTACTATCATCTGAAACCAATGATTATATTAAGTATATAAAACAACATTTTTAACAGAACTGACCACACTTTTTATTCTGTTTTAGGTATGGTCGCTAGTGAAAGTTCCTTTGCTACATGTATTCAAGTTATTTTATAATATCTAACTTTCCTGGTTGCATATTTGTAAATAAACTCTTAGTAGTATCATGTATTTGTTTATTTTATTTTTTCCAGTCTAAAAACAGTTGTTTATTTGAATTTGTTATTTTTGGTAATTTGTCCTAATCTAATAAATGCCAAAACTACCCATAATGCATTCTTTGTAATAATTTTATAAATAATTCAATTTTTCTCTTTCTTGGCAAATTTCTATGTGAACAGTTAAAAATGAGTATGTAGGTAGGGTTTTTTTTAAGGTACATACCATTTTCTTACCAGAGGACTGAGTGTGTAGATTGTGAAATGTGAGGGTCTACAAACAAATGCATTGTAGGTGTGTTTGTTGAGAAATGCAAAGTTCCAAAATTTGATGTAAATCAGTTCAATAGTGAACGAGCTACAGCATTTCAAACATTCTAAAATTTCCAAAGAAATGTATGTGATCTCGCGAATGTGTCCGGAAAATGGTCAAAATCCGGACACATTCACGGCTTCCCATACATTTCTTTGGAAATTTTAGAATATTTGAAAGGCCGTAACTAGTTCACTATTGAACTGATTGATGCCAGATTTTGGAATTTTGCATTTCTCAACGTGGGCTTTCTTTCTATGCAAGTCTTATCTCGTGATTATCCAATTAGAGGATTTTGCCCAGTCCCCACTCGGCTTGAAATCCGGCAATACACAGATTATCAACAGAGGGTAATAGAAACTCAGACACCATACAGGTAGCATGAAGAATGAGTATGGATGATTGAGCTGAAAGAACTAGGAGGTAATAGGGTTTCATCACGTAATTTATTCATTTTATTTGTTAGTTTTCTTAAGGTTACAGGTCCAATGATTTTTTTTGACAGGCAGTCACTACTATTGAACTATGTCGTCATGCAACACTATTCCCCAAGTGTTTAAGTGACGATACAAGTCTGCGCGAATGTTTTTAGCGTTATATTTCTTAGGATCTGACCTACTGATGGGTTGTAATTAGTGGCAGGACTGTAGAAATGACCCATATAAAGTCAATTTCAACATCACCAGGGCAACCGATTGTAATAGCAATCATTCAATATATCAAAAAGCTTATTTGATTTATCAAAAAGCTCATTTTTTCGTCAATTAAGATTTGGAGATTCAAAAGAGTTTTCTTGTGGTTTTATATATTTTTTTTCTTGCGGATTAATGCCCTCTTTTTGAAAATATTCACGGAAGACGGATGAGAGCTGGTTACTATTGTACTATGGGTGCTTTCCATTTAGGTAGAACTGGCCGGCCAGTCCGCTCTATTTAGAGGTATATTATGCTTTTTGTCAACATTTTTCAGTCATTTCGAGGTTTTGTATAGAATAATGGATAGAATTTGAAAATTTGAATTTCCCGACTAAATAGGAATGATAATGACATTTCTCTGGATCTGGCCAGCCAGTTCTGACAAATGGAAAGCGACACAATTCTCACTGGTCAGTGCGGTAGAATCGTCAAATAGCATTATAGTATTGTATTCAATCCACTATATTATATTGATGGCTGCAATTTGCACCTCACATGCGAATTAATCAGCTGGACGGAACGCACACAAAAACGACTTGTTACTTAAGTGCTGTTTTTCCATTTCAAATTGACTGAGTCTCAGGGTTAACTCTACTGGCACACATCCTCCCACAACGGTTTTTTTCTCTCGGTTCTCTAAATTTTCTTTACTATTTTCTGAATCCATGAGCCCCAATTTCTCTTTTCGACCTCAACAATGCACTGACCACCTCTAATATTGAACGGCCACATATTAGCACTGCTGTTCTTACCCTTTACTTTGTTGTATTCTGATACAAAGTCAGCAGCAACAGCCGTGAACCGCTGATTAAGTATATGCATTTCAAATACGCCACTGATTAGAAAGGCGTYGATAAGAAATACGGTAACTGACTACTGAAAAATACACTGCAAAAAAATGAATAAATTAAAAAATGATAAATAATAAAAATAACTATATGAATATGAAAACAACAGCCTAGCACTAGCACTAAATACATATTTAGTCAAACGCCAGATAGGTGTATTTGRAGATTAACGTCAATAATCGTTATCGAAAGCTTTACAAAAATAGAAAATGATCCAAAAATAGCCGAGAAACGGACCAAAAATTGAACACTATGACATCACAATGACGTCAATAGACTTGAAGTCAATATGATTTAGGTAAATAGCAGTAGAATATTACCAGGGTATAAAATGCATATTCACAGGGGAGGGATAGAAATAACGATATGATATACGGTATTAAAAACAAAACGAATAACATCCTTTTTGGATAGTTTTATTGGATTGGAATTTTTTTATTATTATTTTTATTTTTCGATAAGCTGATGCGAAAAGAGCTGAGAATGTTTTCACCAAAGATAGTCTCGATGATGTAGATTATTACTGACCATATGAATATATCAAATATATGCTAGTTTAAACAATTCAGTTACAGTTCGCTGACGCAAGGCCGTTACACCATAGTTAGTATGGTTACACCTAACAGATACAACGTCTTTCAACACGATCGAACGAAACCGAAACCGAAACAAAAGAAAAGTATAGACATGCACGCACATACACTGCAATACAGTTCATGCCCGGGCCAGGCTAACAACCCCATTTTTTATACCCTCCCCCCCCATCAACTTGGTGGAAACAATACTCCCGGATCCGCTACCACACGCGTGTAGTGACCAACGCCGCACTGCAAACGATCCAGATCTAGCAACAGCAATCCTAAGATTATTTTTATTATTTTTAATAGAGCACATTAAGCTTGAATCAAGCTTATTAGTTACCTGTCGAGCAATTAGTATTTCTCTTTCCACTATTTTCGACGCGGTATTTTTAAAAAAAAACTATTCTCTAGGAGTGCTTATTTTTCCCGGAAATTATTTTTAAGATACTGTTGATGATGGCTTCCGATTCAAACACGAACATTTTCCTGTACTTATATTTTTGCACGAGGGTCCTAAAAGGGGTGAAATGAAATTTGGTATTTACATCTTTTTTTAGCTGAAAATAGGAAGTCTATTAAATATKAGTTGAATAATGGGATTTTTGACCGACAACTTCATGCAAAATGGGAAAAGACATTCTGAAAATTTGAAGCAAGTATATGCACCTGAGATTTCCAGACTGTTCCTTGAAGGGCAGTCTAAAGTAAGTAGAGAGAAGATCTGAGTCAAATAATACTTAACAGCAGTCAGTGAAAWATCAATAATCAGATGATAATAATAAATCATGCAAATTGTTTTCGGTCAAGTCTTGTTTTGTCTACGTCTAAGAAAACAATTAATGGCATATTTGTAATGGTGCTAGGTTATGCACATAAAGTTTGCTTGATGAAATACGTGCTTTCAAAAAAAAATATTTCTATTAATGTAGTTTTGCGATATCGGATTTCCAAGAAGTGATAATTATTTCCGGTAAAACTTTATAACCATGAAGGGAAAGCACCGAGCTCATTTTTGCTATTTTAAGAAACTGCATATTATTAGAGCAAGTTATAGCTTTAATAATAATTCCTTACCCGAAAAATATAATAGAAATTAACTATGAAGATAAAAAACTTCCAAATATGGATTTTTCAAAGTTTTGGAAATGGCATAACCATTTCCGGTGTGCTATTTTAAATCGATGATTGACAGAGCCTTATCCAATCATAGCTAGAGGAAGTAATAGCAATATCACGTGGGTTTGCTTTGTGCGTCACACAGCTGCAAAAAAATCCTCTCTCCAAATTGGCGGATGAGAGTCTTCGAGGTTTTTAGGTATTTTGTATTGTGGAAATGAATATGTAGGACAAAAAGTACAATTAAGAAGTTGATAATACTTCTAGAATTGTTCTAGAATCCAGGGAACACTTCTTAGGAATTAGAGASGCTTTGTGAACGGTGTGAATACTTCTTCAGTCGGGCCACTACAGCAAGATTTGTTGGGTTTATGTACGAACACAGAATCTACTGGCTCACATCTTGGGGCTAATATATCGCCTAAACTCTTAGGCCAGTTCACTGTTGTCTATTGAAACTATGACACAAAGTCAAACCAGTGCGTTCAGCTCATTCCCTTATGGTGGAGCAACAAATGGGTAAGTGCCGTGATTTTCTCTCTGTAGAGTATTCCTTACAATATGGCGACAGTACAAGAATAAACTTGGGTCGTTGTTGAGATGCGTATTACTGACTGAAACCTTTTTTGTGATGATTCAAAGGTTCGAAGTGCTAACTATCTGTACCCATGAAACAATCTTCAATTTCTAGTTTGAAATGTGTTTCTTTTCTTTCTTTTACGCCCCCTCCATAAGTGTTCTTCCGTAATGCTTTTCTGTTCGTCTCCCGATAATTTCCCAACTTTATCGAATTTGTGCTCTCTAAAAGAAGTTGATAACAATATATACTTATTTATCATTAATCGGTTTTCAGAAATACTGTTGAATAACATGCTACCCTTGATATTTAAACTTTGAATAATTCGATTTTGCAGTTTGGTTTTTTGTTCAGTCATAACGTTAAAAATATCGTTTTGTCAAATTTACTGAACATGGAAACTTTTCCCCCCTAAATGTTTAGAAATATTGTATCACTTGCTCGTTATTTCTTAATCACTGTACATACTTAGGTTTACATTTAGTTTTAATATATTTCGCTGATCGAGTTGGCTTTTTATTTTTGAATTGTATAGGACGTGTTGGGTTTTGTTGTTATTTTTTCATGTAGTCGAAACACTGAGTTTGTAATTTTATAAGCACGTAACATTCAGAGGTTTCAAGTTTCACATATCCTGTCTTCGATCAGATCTTTTCGTATCAGACAACACAACCTGTCTATAGTTTGTTACATGTAAGCAAATCCAAACCCCGATGTTTTGCAATGTACCTGTAAACTTCTAGTATAGATTTCTCATTGGTCGATTGATTAGAAGAATCAGTGTTTTTTTCTTTAATTTTCTATGACTTTTGTATTTGCTGGACAATTCGAATGTCTTTTATACAGTATACAAAACGAGGATTTGAAATTAATCGTGAATCTTGTGGTGGTGGACTTCGAAGAAAGCCTTTGTTTCGTTGTGTTAAATATGTTAGCATAATGTTATCGTTCCTTTCAGATCAAGAGGTTTCGCTTTCAATTTGTTCGTTTTTGAAGAAATGATTCAAAGAACCTCTATTTTGTAAGGAGAATGCGGCTGATTTACCTGTGGGCTTATTTYTTCAATGCTCTAAGTATCCTTTAGTTTCATTGCGTGAGGGTTTTTCTTTGGTAACTTCCATTATTCTCAAACGCTATACAAACACTCCATCTGACTTGTCAAATGAAGTCTTTCTTTTTCCGAAGAAGAGGCTAAAGAAAAACAAATAAACTCGGGACACTAGTACGTTTCCATAACGCAACTGATGTGACCATAGAATGTTTATTATTATGTTCGAGAATATTATGCTGAAAAATAGAAATATAAAGTGTTTGGCATATGTTCATCTATAGCCTGTAGTTTCAACTATAGTGGCTTGGTAGTTGATTCTTTTTGTGTGTGTGTGTGTGTGAAATGGGAGCCATCTGAAGGACCCACATGCATATACGATTGCCTAATACATGTTCTTTGTTAGTCACTAGGCTGTTTATATTAACACATGTGTCTAAAGGGAAGTTTTGTTCAACTACAAACCAATAAAGTCAATACAAATACTCCTAAATTTGATGTTGACACAGATGCTTTTCTTGAAAATTTACAGAATTAATTATGAAAATTAGATTTGGACTTAATGGTGAAGTTACAGATTCAGTACATCAAGTATTTTCATGGTATATTGGCTCTGTATGATAACTAGGCCACAACAGTGTAATGCATTCAGCAGTATTTTGAATATTCAAACTCATTTGAATTCACTTTCATTTGAATAGTTTAGTTTATATTTTATTTGCGATAATTTAATATTTGCCAAGTAAGTGTTTTTTCTTCTTTTGTTATTTTACCATAACATGAATCAGTAGCAACAAGAAGTGTATTTCACTTGCTGTACTTGAAGAATTGATATTGGAAGAGGAACTACATTTCTCAGATATTATTCATTGGAGAAATCTGTTATGTAGTATTTCAGGCTGAAAATGTGTTCTCAAATATGTATTTGAGTATATTTTATGGTTTAATGCACTTGTATATTGTTGATTGTGGGTGTGACATAGGCAGAACACTCAGCTCATAATTTGAATAATAAATTGTAATAATTTCATTAAGGTGCATATGAACGAATTTAACATGATATTAAAAGTGTTTCATTTTTCAAAAGTGTCACCAAAAGGCTCCTTGTTTTTCAAAATATCCGACACTGACATCTCTGTCAAAAATTTTACTCTGTTAATACATGTCTGTGTTTTTGTGCTTAAAAAATACACTCTACTGGTTTTGAATAAGTATAAATGATAATGTGTGGTTAATCTATGCAACGTAAAGTACATTAACATGATTTATCAAGCTAACCTACCATTGTAAGGACATACAGATACCTCAATAAGCCTCTCGAAAATAGATTTTGATATTTCAGTTAATTTACAACATCTGTCATTTTTTCCATTTTAAGTAAAAAGTTTATCTCTTTGGTGGAAATTGGGAAATGAAGGTGTAAGATTTTTGAAAGAAATTGCCAGTGTTGAGCCTSTAATGAAAAAGGGTATTTAACTCAAAGGCATTGTTGTAGGAATCATGAAAAAGTAGACTGTAATCATCATTTGTATTACTACATGACCAGTCCAGACAAAACTTTACAACAACAATTAGTGATGAACTGCTTTCAATCAGTTAAGTGCTTTGGTGCCAACTGCCGGTTTGTTTGTTATGTTGATTAAGAGCAGTCTATCACTAATCGCACATCTTGAATGTTGTCTGGGCTAGTCTTGTTGTATTGGACAGTAATGCAGCATAGTACAAGAGAGAGATTATGCATCATTAGAATATATCAACTTCAATTAAAGCCATTTCTCAACTTACCCCACCCCTGTGGAATATTAGGGTATTTACGTTTTAACTACCGTGTTAAAGCCACTGTATTTCTGTCAACTCTTGGAGACCAATAAGTAATTTCCATTGATTAAAATGTTAATTCCCCCGCCTTCCCCTGGACTGATGTTGTTAAGAAGTATTCAATCCCTGACTATACTGTGTTAATCCCCCCACCTCAAGGTGCCGGACTGGTGCTGTTAAGACAGTGTTAAATCCACAGCTATAACGTGTTAATTGACTGATGTATAACCAGAATTAACTGTGCCTTAATATTAAATGATACAAGTTGATACATTGTATTTTTATCTAGACTGTCAATCCATGAAAGAGAAAGAGAGGCAGCAAGAAAGGAGCGACAGTTACAAAATACYGAATCTGTAAGTATACAGCGAAAGCACCAAGTCATGTTGTCATGAAATAGTTTTTTTTAAATTAATGAGCTATTCAGTTACTATCATTCAATTGATCAGAATGGATTGCTCAGACCATGCTAAATACAAACTATATTAGAGTACACTAAAAGCGTGCAACACTTTGCAGCATTTGCTACAAAATACTGCTAATTAAACAATAGAAAGCAATAGAATTAGCATAATTTAGTAGTATTTAATGGTATTTATGTTGCACAGTTTTAGTGTTTGTATTCTAGTAGAAGGGTAATAATTGTCGAAATAGTGAACTTATTGTTTTGGATATTTTTTYGTTTATGTATGCTATATAATAACACCTCAAGTACTGTGGTTATAGTGTACTTGGTGTGTCCATGTAGTCTATGCTGATTGGCTAATGAGGCTCACTTATTATTGCTTTGCATTAGTTTGCCACTGTTTTGATTGTTGAGATTTTGAGCAAATCCAACATGAAATTTGAAACTTTGGCAACAAGCCCAAGTTATTCTGTTGTATTTGGAGCTGTACTTTGTGCAAAAAAAATCATTCTGAAACACTATTTCTTTTTTGATTTAGAAGTAACTTTATAAAGGATTTCAGATATTCTTTAAGCAAATGTTATTATTTCTATTGGTATATAGAATTTGTCGTACGTTTATGGTACATAGTTTGATGAGTCAAGCTCAAAGCATTTGCATAGATGTAGGTGTTTTCRTTTTGACAGATAAGAGTTTGTGTCATAACAAAAAACAACAACGAAACAGCATTCAAGCAGATCTACTGAGCATAATAATTCTTGCTCGGATTCACTAAAGTTTCAGAACAACATTCATGCAATATTTGTAGACTGACATTTTATGGGAGAACATTTTTGCTGCATGATGGCTATACCTTATATAATTATGTGATATTCATTTTATTACCTTATTCTGCTGTGGCTATTCTGTTGTTAATGTATTGGATGGGGTCTTGAACTCTTCAAATGGTGCATCAACTGTAAGAGAATATGACTCACAAAATCCTAAATATCCTTGCTTATTGATTATTGGTCAAATAATTTTTGATATTTTGTGAATTTGTGAAAATGTATAAATTAATGAGGATTATGACTTCAACAAATTAGTTTTAAAAAGTTTGTCATGCATGTAAACTTAATTTAGATGTTGAAAAAAGAATCATCATAGCATGAAACTGCAGCTATGGTTACTTGAAATTTGATCCTCATAATAAACTGAAGTATTTTTTTTAGGTGTCACATTCTTTACAATTGTTTCCACAAGGTCCAAGAAAGGTATAACAATCGTATATTTATTGCTTTTATTCAGGCATAAACACATTGAAACTACTTGAATTATTTATCTGTTGTTATCTGGCATGTATTAAGCCCCAACATCTCTCCCAGGCTGCTGCAGCCTTTCTGACTTTCTCAAAAGATTTAAACATTACCTCTGCCTTTCTAATGTCCTTAATGAAGCTAAATTGCCATTGTTTTAGTTTTTCTACTTTGTATGTTCATTGATATTAATTCATAATGCTGTACTTCTATGTATTTGTGATGTTAATAATTCTACTTATGTTTGGAACACATTCTTCAAATTTGACTATCATCCTTCACAAAGACTAGTTGTAGCATATAATGAATATATTGTAATAATAATAATAATAATAATAAGCATGTAATAGTTTCAATTATTGAAATACATTGGAGTATCTTGTTATTCATGGTTCATGTATCTCTTTTAAAGGTTCAGCCTTCCCGTAGTGACCGATTACAGCATAATATACAGGTAAAATGAACTCCTATTCACAAATTACCACAACCAGGCATAAACACAATCACATTGTAGCTTGTGAATGGTATTACAGATTGTTTTCTATTAGACACAGTGAAATAATCCCTGCAATTTAGTCATTAATACACTCCAATGGAGAATGAGAATTAGTGAGATATGTTAGGAATACTTAATGCCTCCACTGTGGTCAATCATGCAGGAAGCAACATTTTTCCTGTTTCATTTGAAAACCTTTAGTCCATTTTGTAACTGAATGTTACTCTTGATTAGTTGACGTTCTTCAATATCCAATACATTATTGGTTGTTTAGTATTGCCAAAAAACTTTAACATTAACATTTTGAGAATTATTCTCAAAACATTGAAACCTTATACATGCATAACATTGTAATTTAAACATGTTTTGCACAATAAATATTTGTATTATAATGTTGTTTTTTTCACAGGCTACACTGGGGGATTTCAATGCTTTAGCACCATCTATGTCTCACCAAAAACAGTACTCACTCCTTGGTATCACAAACAAAGTGCCTCAGACACCTGTAGATGCTGGCAACAATAAAGTTTTCAGTTTTGAAAATAATTCARCTATCAAGAAAGAAAACAAYGTGGACAAAAATGCAATGAAAAATCAAAAAACGAAATTACAGAACAGAACTAAAGACGAAAAGAATAGAAATGATTTAAAAGTCACAAGTAATAAGAAAGCAGTAAACACAGARCAATATTTAAAAAGTATAAAGTCAAATAGCAAGAAGACATCAGATAGTGATCAGAATTCTAAGGAAATGCCACAAGTGAAAAAGGCTAGCCAAGAAGCAAAGATTTGTACAGTGAAAAAGGAGTCGTTGTGTGAGGTCTCTAAGCAAGAACAACAGGTTCAACCTACTGATGAGAAGATAWCAAGCATCAAGAAAGAATCAAAAGATACAACAATCAAGCATAAACCACCAAAACTGTCTATCAAAACAAGGTATAGAACTTTCCATTGTACACATACTCTAAAAAAACTTGGTCTCTTGTACAAAATATACAATGTCTGATAGTCAATAAGGTATGCTTATTATCTACTTGTTTGCTGCTATTGTACATGAATTTTTTTGTCAGAATTGAATTATAGATAAAGGCAATATATCATTGATAATTTAGAAGGAAAACAGAATTTGAATTTGTCTCTGAATATTTTATGAATTATAAGTTTTCAGTAAAGTTTATGATGATCACATATTGTAAATAGATAATGTTTACCCAAAGTATGATATTAAGAGATGATTAATCTGTATTCAAAGTATTTAGAGGTTTAGTACAAATAAATGTTTAAATTCTCATAACGATGATTGYTTGTAATGTATATCACTTTTGACTATTTCAGTATTCCTTTTTGTTTAACGACATCACAACTTTTAAAATTGTTAGTTGAAAAAATGTAYGAGCTACAGAGAGATTTGGCATTTCAAATAACTTTTTTATAGTCATGTCAATTCTTCCAAAGAAGGGCATCTTCTATTTTAGATTTTAAACAATAATGACTTATCTTGTTATTTTCTGTTTTGCAGAAGTCCTGATCATAGATTAGCAACAACTGAGGTAAGATTCTAAGAGGAAATATTCAATAATAGTTTTAAATACRAGAAAAATTATAACTTCTCACATGACAAATATTTTTCACTTACTCCAAATCCAGTAGAGTGTCTTTTTCAAAAACAAAAACACAGATGTCAAGGAAATCTCAGGGTGTTTTGTGATGTTGACGATATAGAATGTTCTGTAGTTCTGTAAAACACAAATCTTGTATTATATTGTAGGTTTAGTAAGGCTATTGACATTAAAGATTATTTTTTTCTTGATAAAAGTGTTGCCATGTATCGTACAGGATGATCAATGTTTACATATGTACCCAAGGTGAATAACCTCAGCTTTATGATTGCTAATAGCTAAAAACAGCTCAAGAACTAGGTACTGTCCTTGTTTTTCATACAATGTAGCTTTCCTGTGTCTACGTCACATAAATGTCTGGGACTTTGTTTATGAAGAACATACTCTACTGGTTTGACATATTTTCTGTGTACCCATCTGAAAAATGATTGATATAAAAGTCTTTTAAAATAGATTCTTGGTATCTTTGTGTACTCATATGTTTATTTATCTTAAGAAATAATGATTATTAGTGTATTATTACTATAAGAATATTATATTATTGACACAGACATGTTGATATTATWGTGAACAATATTCTTTGATGATCTACCAGTAATCTATTGTGTATTRTGTCCTTATCCTGTTTAAGTCTGTCCTATTTCTGTACTAATATCAAGAGAATAATCCAAGACAAAGAGCTTTCTATAAGTGTTTTCCTCAACAATCACTATAAGTATGACTTATGCCAAAAAACAAATTACAAYAGTTTGCCATTGTCTAGCTAAAAACATTACAGTCAAGAGATCTATTTGTTACTCTATATTGATTGTTGAAGTATTTGTATCTATTATATGATATACTGTGTTTCAAAAAAGTAGCTCAAACAGTAGCTCTCAAATCTATTCATCTAATGTCATGCCATTTTTGCCAAATATGATTCTCTTGTGCTCATTTAACCTCTGTGCATTGATTAGTAGATAGGCAAGAACAGCTGTATCCAGAAGTACTTGTTGTTTCATGCTAGTTTGCGCAGTTGGAGTGAAGGCTCTTCATTCTTTTCTAGTCTTGACAAAATAAATCAATTCATAATGTTGACAGGACAAGGGTTTAAATTCATTTTAATAAAAAGCATTCTGCTGGTTACTCTGAAAAACAATTTAAAATACTAAAAATTAGCTGTGAAAAGTATAAAAATTCCAAAAAAATACATTTAACTTTTTTATTATTTGGAGCCCTGCCAAAATTGGTTATGTAATAGATATTTGGGGAGTTTTGCTCTAGCATGACTGTTATGATCTCACATTCCTGAACGTTAATGTGATCTCTTTGACTACTGCATCTTAATCTACATATACTCAGTCTGYGCACTTGGCAACTTCCATTGGCTTTAATTAAACCCGGTGACTTAAGTTCCTATATGRTTTGTGTGATGTCTGTATAAAATATTAGTTAGTATTAATTTATCAATATTTTTTAATAATTAGGATAATAATGATAGTATGAGATTGTCTCTACAAATAATTGTGTGTGGCCACTCAAGCTTGAAATTGGGCTATGCTCAAAACTCAATCACTTGTCATAGTCAAAACACATCCAAGTCAAGTTACATACCGTGCTGTTATAAACATTATTGAACCTATTTAACATGTAGAAGAAAAATATTTAAGTTTCAATATTCAGATTTTAGTTTTTTTTTAGCATTTTGGTGCCCCCCCTAGCTCCCTCCCCCCTTATTTTTTCCTTTTCCTTGGCTCTCATTATTCCTCTTCTAAYCTGGAGAGAGTAGTAAAAGCTATGGCAAAATGAGAAACACAAGAAAAGCCTGAAGTCCTTAATTTTCTCAGCTTCATAACCTGTAGAACCCATAATTTCTAGAAATAAATTCAGGCTTTTTTATACTACAATAACTGGAAAGGGATACCTTTGAATTCTGATAAAATGTTTATTCTGTATTATATCCCATGTTCACAACATTAGATAAGGATCTTAACTATTTCAGATTAGACTCAATTTCTGTAGGTATTGTTCTGTAACAGGATATATTTGTTTACATGATTTATGGTGTTTATTGTTATAGAAAGTCAATTCCTAAAATATAAAATGAAACAAGTAATATTTTTTAGTATTCTTGGGCTTTGATAGTTATCAAAACATTTCATATTGATTTTCATTTTTATTGTTAAGCTACCAGAAAAAAATCTCTCAGAAAACTAATGTCATAACAGATTCAGTTTAAAGATAATATCCAGTTTATTTGATTCTTACTATAATGTACTTATAATTCTTTGGTGCCTCAATTAATAAATTGTTTATAACCAAAATCTAAGGTTAAATCATTTTGATGTTCAGATAATTAAAAACTTCAAAATTTATCCAAAAAATATCTCAGTATCTCTATATTAATTTCTTAAATGTGCCATTAATAAAGTGTGTAAAGTAAAATGTTCTTCCAAAAAGATGAATTGATAATATATTAAAAAAGAAGTCAAGTTTTAATAACATATAGTAGTGTGACACCTGTCTTGTGGATCATTTACATAACAAAGGCTACTACAAAGTAATAAAAACTAGAGTTTCCTTGTGTCATTTCGATCTCAGGAAATCACTCTTTCACCTTACACAATGTTCTTCTAAAAAACTATTTAATTTGATCTTTGTTTGAGTTTTCTTTTCCCTATCTCCAGTATACCGTTTCAAATGTGGCTTGATCTAGCTGTATTGTTTGTTTGAATTGTCAAACCACACAGTAGCAATGACTAACATGTTCAAAGGGGCTTCACATCATTTGAACAGTATTAATATTGTGGTTGACAATAATTTCCTTGTGATATTAATTATTGATCAGTAGAATTGTACATGTCTATAAGAAAAGCTTGATAATCTGTGGTATGTACACTCCATTTGGCTGTCACTAGACTTTTGTTGCTTTTCTTAGTGTTATCTAGACAATATCTATTTTTTTAAACAGAAAAATGCTAAAAAAGAAAGTTTTATGTCTTTTATTTTTAGCTTCTGTATTATAAACATCAGTAGTGYTATGCTCACTTTAATTTCTCTTGCATGATTTGATTGGACTAGATTTTTATTGCATATTAGTCAACCAATGAGATCCAAGGTTTAAACCTCTGCCAGGTGTTTGAAATGATTGCTTATCTAAAGAGATTCTGTAATGAATGGGTTTCAGTCATACAGCCAAGTAATTATATTATCACAAACCTTTTTGGTTGCAATTTTACCAGAAAATTGTGTRGGATATTCAACTCTTGTGAAGATATTTTTAATATTCTACATGTAGGCAGTCTCTGAATTCAAACAATACCGAATACAGTTGAGTTTTCTTTGTTTAAAACATGACTAAGGGAATTGTTACGATATTTTGAAACATAATATGAATTGTAACTGTTATTAGTTCTTGTGTGGTAAACTTGTATTCATAGTTTTTAAAAAACTAATCCCTCTAAAGAAAAAGTCATAATTCATGATACAATTCATATTTATACATCATCATAGGATTGATTGCTTTTTGTTTTATTTGCATCAATGTGTTGTCAATTCTTTGTATTCTAACATTGGTTTTTCTCTTAAGTCCACACAGGCCAATGTAAAGAAGATCCTTGAGGTAAGAACTTTGTTTTTACTGAGGGTTTTTTTTGTTTTTGTATGTTTTTTTTACCATCTCTAAATCTCTAGTAGTCATTGATATTAATTCTCAACCTAGTGGTTGTTTTTGGATGCTGGAAGTTAAGAATATCCCTAAGTGCACTTCTCGCTATATATAGACTTGGATGATAATGCTATTGTGATTATTTTAGTGGGCAAAGTACTGATATGATACAAAGAAATCATTTATGAAAACCTATAGGGGTATTTTGTTATGCTGCTACATGTAGTTGATACAAAAGACTTAACCCCCATAACTCCCTGAAAGGTTGAAAAATAAATAAAATAATTCTTGTAAATTGCATATAGAAATGTAAATTACAACCACACACGAAAAAACAGAGTAAGGTTTAACAGCACATTACTAAATATTACTGCTGGATCCATTAAATTGGAAAAAATTATCAATTAAAGACCAACTGTGAAAATATGGACTTGAAAAGAGCAATTCTCCTTTTCAGAAAGATCTTTTTTTTGTAAAACTTGAGAGAAAACAAATAAAAAGGTGGATTTTGTGTTCTTTATGGAAACACTTTGATAAACTAACAAGTACAAGTCCAAAAAAAGAGAAAACTCTTTGAGAAAACTCTTTTGGTTCATAAAAGTCAGCTTTATAGCTTTGTAAATGAGGTTTTTTTTTTTTTTTTTTTTTTCAGGTAATTATCTCACATGAAAAAGGGTCATTTTAATAAACATTTTTATTCAGCTGTTTTCTAATACAATGCTTATAAATAATAATTAATAATAAGCCAAATATAACTCAGTAAAAATCATGAAAAAAATTATCTAATCAAGAAGTCCCATGAAAATTGGTTGTAACTTGGCTTACTATGAGCATGAAATAGACATTAATCTATTGTCAAACCATGGTCACAAGGAAATATTTTACCTGTGGTGTTTCTTTGTATAGATTATACAAAACCCTATCTGATAARTTATTAAAAATAACTTCAAATAACCTTTACATTTTAACTTGTGAGTTATCCCCTTTGTGTATTGTATTGTGTATTTAAAGTTCATAAAAAAAAACCTTAAGCGATAAGCTAGAGATAAAGAATTGTGTTGGCTTCATATTTTGTCATTTAATAACTCAGAAAAAAATGTTTTGTACATTTCCCTTCATTTAGTCTTTTTTTTGTATATATTTATGTTGTTTATTTTTCTTCAGGAAATGACTCAACCAGGGCCTCCTCCACTAACTGCAATCCAGACGCCACGCAAAAACAACGCACAGTTTGCATTTCCACTTAATCCCCCAGCATCATCATTATTGGTAAGTAACAGAAAATAAACAAAAGAAATAAAGAAACAAGATAAAAGAATGCAATTCACATTCTATGATTATTTGCTAAATTAAAGTTTTATATTAATTTCTAGAATGGCTCAAGTCCTCTTACTCAAAGCATTAACAAAAGTAAGAATAACTGAATATATTTTGATTGGTTTTAAGACAGCTGGTGCCAAACTAGACTCAATTTTTTTGTTTCCTTGCAGAAGAAAAAGAAGAACAAATTCTCAAAGATCTTCATATTTCAGATGATGAGAACACTGATGACGAGGTGACTACATTTTAGCTAATTTCCAATAAMAGTTAAAATGTTATTACACTGTAGTTTTTTTTACTGACAATGAGAATATTTGATTGCTGTGATATAATAATGATGATTATCTTGGTCGCATTGGATTTGTAGAGAAAACAGTGGGGCTAAAAAATGAATAAATAAATAAGAATATGAGCTGGTCAACAGACAATGTACAAACATGATTTTTATCAGCCATATCTTTTTGTGAACATAATTTTTTTAAGCTAAAAGATTATTTGACAATTTGAACTTGACCTTCACTACTTTATGGGGGTCCAATCATCTGTTATTATTTTTGCCCTGAAACAGCACAAAATGTTTTGACTCTCTTGCACAGATTGATTATACAGACAAATAAAACAACACATACTTTGTGATCTGAGATAATCAGGTTAATAAGTGATGTTTAGTCTAATTGGATTATCATTAATTGCAGGCCAATGACAGCAGTGATGACAGTGATTCAAGTAGTGACAGTGACAGTGATTCCAGTAGTGACAATTCACCACCCAATAGCCCCGTTAGATCAAAGGTACGTCATATTACAATTATATATACGTAACTATCTCATAGCATTACTAAAAAAATAGACCCGCATAAAATCCCTTGGTAATTTTTCTCTCCTTTCTATTTCTATGATAACTGCAAATGATAAGGTTAAAAACAACTTTTTTGTTTTCATTTAGTTAAACAAACCTGGCAAGAGCTGCACACCTAACCATATTGACAAGCAGGCTGCAAAGACGAGCCAACCTGCTTCAGTGACGCTGGCATCTAGCACAAGCTCTCTTGGTGATACTGGAGAAGGAGGTGTTCGAGGTGATCTTGCAGCACCTGGTGCACACACTAGTCCTCTAAACAATCCTTTACTAAATGCTGATAACCCAGCAAATGGTTTGAGTTTATTTGAAGACTTTGGCTTTGACTTGCCTGACATATCTAAGACTATGTTAGATGAATTTGGCAGCTGCCATGATGGTGATGAAAGTGGTTTGATTGACCCAGCACTACTTGCAAATGACATTGATCTTTGTAATAAAGACCCTATTAATCACTTTAAACCAATAGAAACACCTTCTGAGGTCAAACTAAAACAGCCTGAAGTTCATTCCGCAAAGGAAGTCGAAAACAGGACAAAAGAAGATTCGGAGGGAAAATTGTCAAAGCAACCTAAAGMAAATCATGAAAAAACTTCAAAGTCAACAAATAAAAGAAAAGCATCTGATAGTTCAAAGTCAAATTCTAAAAGTAATGACAGTAAAGATGAGTCCAAAACAAAAAAGGTTGACAAAACAAGTGACAGAAAGGTTGTTAAAGCAAAGACTGTGAAAGGGACCAAACCATCAAAGCCTTCAGTCAGCGATGGGGAAAATGAGGAAATTGATGTTGTAACTGTGACTGATGCTAACAATGATAAAGGATTATTAAATAAATCAGATACTGTAGATATTAAAAACAATAAAACAGAAGAATCCAACAAGGCATCCAGTAAAACTAAAACTACTGAGAAACTTGTTAATGGTCACAAGGAACCTTCTGTTAATGGACATAGAAACTCCTTACTCAATGGACATCATAAAGACACCTTGTTGCTTGAGGAGAAAGAAACTGTCGATGGCAAGYTGTTATCTCTTTCACCTAAACACGGCCTTAGTGAAGAGATTACTTTAGACTGCAACTCAAAGCCTGATGCATTAGTAGTTAAAATACCTTTGGCCTTGTTGAAGAGAATTCCATTGCTTAAGAGTATTAACAATAAGATGGAAGTTGAGACTAGTCCACCTAGAAAACCTACAAAACATCAATTATCGGTTGAATGTAGTGATGGTAAAAAACCTAGGTATGACCATTCTTCAAAAAGGTGAGTAGCAACAGCTTTATAACCTGTTCATCCTGTTTTTTTT